GTTACCGGCGGCCGACAGCCAGGGAAGCATCGCGAGGCGCCGGTGCAGCAGCTGTCTCCAGATTGGGTCTTGAGGGACCGCAGGCCGCACCTGCAGGGGCGCTGCTCAGGCGGACGCGTCTTCCCTTCGTCCGGACGCAGGTGCGCCCTGGCGGACTCTGCGCTTCGACGTCTCCTGGGCACCTCCTCCTGCTGGGACGGGGACCCGCCTGTCCCAGGCGCCGGGTCCTGGTGACGGGCACTTGGAGCAGCCGCAGAGCAGGTGTCCAGGCACATGCAGGAAGCGGTTCCGTAGGGGGTTGAGGACGCCGCATGTGGGCTTTGCGGGAGGACAAAGGTCGGCTGATAAGAGAAGGGCAGAAGGCTTTGGAGCTGGTCCCGGCCTGGCCGGCCGCGCGTCCGTGGACGGTGAACGAGGGATCGTCACGCGGACCCGCAGGAGTGGCGTGACGTCCGCACTCGGTCCCGGCGGGACTCTGGGAGGCAGGGTGTGCGGCTGTGGCCCGCACAGTCGGTCCCCACGGCCGGAGCCGGCCGAACGGCTCGCGGAGGCAGGTGCTGCAGAAGCCGCTCTGCGCTGCCGCCCGCCCTCCCTCTCTCCTGAAGGCGCGGTTAATACAGCTGGAAATCCGAACCGTGATGAAAGCGCAGGTTTGAGGGTCGCTCCGTGGACTTTGGTCTACGCTGGCGTCTGTGTCGGCGGCTGGGGCCACAGCTCAGAGGACGGGGAGAGGCTGCGTTTCTGCCGGCGTGGATTTTGCTCCCACGGTGCGTGAAGCGTGTCTGGTCTTTGTCCCTGGTTCCCTGGGACTCTCTGTCACCCATCGTTACGCTCCCTCCTGCGTCCACGCTGACCGGGTTGCTTGGGGGGCGGCGCCCAGGGTGGTCGGAGGGTCCAAGGGTTGGGACCCTGCCCCACCCTGGGGCCGCGGGGCAGGTGGGAGATAAAGGCCGTGAGCTCTTGAGGGGCCCCCATCGCGCTCACGTGGCTGCCAGGGCCCCCGCCGCGTCTGCGTCTCTGCCCGCGTCCCCACACCTGCGTGACGACGTGTGTCCTCCCTGGGTGTGGTGAACTCTCCAGTGGGTTCACCGAGCCGGAGGAGCTGGCTGGGAACCGGCGTAGGCACGACCTGCCGCCTGGGACCGAGCTGCCTCCAGCGGGGGGCGCCAGCGCGGTCTGCCGCCGCTCTGCGTGTGGAGAAGCCGCACTCTGGGGTCGCGCGTGAGAGTAGAGAGCGACTGGTCACAGCGCTCTGGATGGAGTCCTCCCCCCTGCGCGGGGGCTCACGGAGTCCAGAGCAGAGCACGGCCACCCGCGTGAGAGAACCGTGAGGTTGGACGTCCCGCGTTTCGTTCTCAAGGACGTTTTGTCGTTCATTTCTGAACAGCACGCGGTGCTTCGGGCACCTGGCACCTTCCCGCGCGGTCACACTGTGCGTTTCCTCCTGCGTTGCTGGGCCATGTGGGGTCTGTCCGCCTGCTCACGGCGCCCCGCCCCCTGGAGGTGCCCTCGCTCGTCCCTCCGGTTGTGTTTTGTGTGGGGGCTTTGTTTTGTTTTGCTGTTGTCCTAACAGAAAATGCCGCACCAGACACCCGCCTTCCGGCAGACTTCCGGGGGAACGTCGCAGGGCCCACACGTGTCCCCCACCTCCGTGACCACCCCAGCCTCGGCGACGTGCTTGTTAATTTTCCTTCCGCGGTTCCCCGTCACCTGCGTCATCCTTGAAAAGTCACATCCGGACGGTTTCAGTCCGGAATCCGTTTCCCACCTGGGACAGTCAGTGACATGGACCATCGTGGGGTGGCCCCAGCAGGACTGGCCCCTGGTGGCAGCTCTCCACCTGGCTGCCCTTGTACCGGCAAAGGAGCCAAAAAGTAATTCTGGAACTTGAATTTCTTCTGAGCTTCTGACTTCGCTAGTCTGGCCGGAGCTGGCGCTTTCCGCTTGTTTGAGCACCAGGAAGGGCGTTGAGGGACCACGGCTGACTCACGCGGTGACGGGCGCCTACGTGGGAGGAGGGTCAGAGACTGCTGGGCACAGACACTGGTGGAGAGGTCGCTCCACGGCGTTGCTGTCCTGGGGGCAGGGAGAGGCGCGGAGGCGGCAGAGGCTCCCGGGCAGGACACAGGGACGGACGGTTGTTCTCCAAGACCAAGCGTGAGTGGAGTCGTGGGAGTAAAGTCGGTACAGAACCTTCTAGTGTTGACCATGTGCATGTCCTGTGACCAGGCAGTTCCTCCTGGGCACGGACCCAGCAGAAACGCATGAAGAGCTGTACGCAGGATGTTCCTAGCAGCGCGGCCCAAATGTTTATTGGCAGAACAGGTGAATCGGGAGAGGCGTATTCACCCGGCGCAGTGTCGCACGGTGACAAGATGAAGGATGTGACCCACACAGACGGGTCTTTGTGTAAACTCAGCTTCTCGTTCAAGTTCTTTGTACGAGGAGGACGTGGCATCGGCGGATGGTGATGTCTGACTCCTCGTGTCTCTTGCCGTTGATCCTGAGCCAACGTCAGCGCTGCCCTGGGACTCTCTCTTCCCGTCCCCGGCCGTGGGTGCCGGGAGCACAGCGCCCATGGAGGAGCACGAGGACCCTCACTGCCGGCAGCAGTTTTGCCTGGAGCGCGGCGAGTTTCTCAGATGAAAACCGGGAGACGCTGTCCTGGCAGAAGGGAGTCGCCTGGCCAGGGGCGGGCTGGGACTTGAGTTTATTTTGTGCCGTCACGTGGGACGTGTTCACCGGCTCATCCACCCCTGCCCCGAACTTGGAGCTCTGCTCCCTGCCGCACCGTCGGTCCCGTGGCTTCTCTCACGCGTCCGCTCCTGCTGCGCACTCGGGTTTGGTTTTGGAAACTCGGAAGCCGTGGCGCGTGGGACGAGTGCCGTGGCGGAGTCCCTGCCGCTGCCGCAGCCGTGCGCGAGGGCGGACCTGGGAGGGGCAGGGAGAGGGTGAGGGCGGCCGGGAGGGAGGTGGGGGCCGGTGGGGTGGTCCCGCTGCAGAATCCAGGGCCACGTGCTGGCGTCCGTGGATGGGATCGTTCGTGTCCTGCGACTCCAGAGCCCCCGGCCCAGCGAGGAGCACGGGGCAGCCGGGCGAGGGGGACATCGTGAGCTCACCTCAGTCACCCGGAGTCTCAGGGGCCCGGGCGACTTGCGGCAGAGGAGCAGGGAATTCCGAAGGGCCGGGAGAGGTTCCCGCTGGGGGTAACGGTGTGAGCCCCTCAATACGAATGCACAGTGTATGATACTTACTACGTATATACAACGTATAAAACAAAAAATATAAAAATGCGCAGTGAGGTTGCAGGGGGGGAGGGAGCCCCGACCTGCAGGGGGACGTTGAGGAGTGAGGGCCGGGGCCGGCAGTGTGGCCCACCAGACGCCCGGACACCGCCCCGCACACCCTGGACAGAAGGGGCGACACAGAACAGCCGTCCGTTTACACGCATGACTGAGCTCCCCAAAAAGGAAACCCCCAGATGTCAGAAACAGGGAACGAGAAATCCAAGCAGGCTGCCCTCAGGAGCGGCCTGGCGGGCAGGGAAGCGGGGCTTGGGCTTTTGTCTGCCGGGAGGGAGGTGGGACCTGGGCCTGCTGAGGCGAGGCGGCATCTGTCGCCACAGTTAGGAAAAGGTGCGGGCGCAGGAGGGAAGCAGTGAGCGTTCGGGCTCTGCCATGATCTCGGGAGGGCAGGGGGTCCCGCTTGAGAAGCCGCAGGCAGCAGGGGTCTGAGCAGCAGGTGGGCGGCATAAAATTGGTCCTGGGCCAGTGACAGCCCTGGGGCAGGTGGCAGAGGCGACCCCCACACTTGTTCAGAAGTCGCGCCCACAGCCAGGTGTGCAGGACGCGAGGTGCGCCAGGGAATAACCCCCACGCAAGACTTAGCTCACACACAGAGAAAGTTGGGATCAGGTGGCTGAAATCTTTGGGCAAGGGACTAGCAGAGAGAGTGAAATGAAAGATGAAGAGGAGAAACTGAAAAGTTAAGGGAAAGAAAAGGACACGAGAAAAACAGGCCGATTCGAAAAGGAACCAAATAGAATTTGCATAACTGAAAAAATACAGTGATTGAAATGAAAAACTCAGCGGATAGATTAGAAACTCAGCGTCTTGGACGGTGGTAGGCCAGTCCTCCCACTGAGAGCAGCCGGAATTGCTGGACAAAGTGCAAACTTCGCCGGGCACAGTGGTGCACACCGTGGTCCCAGCCACTCAGGATCGCTCGAGCCCAGGAGTTCGAGTCAAGCCTGGGCAACGCAGCCAGACCTTGTCTCTTAAAAAAAAAAAAAGTAATAGTACAGAAAGTATCTGTTGAGGGCATTCGTGGGACAGCCAGCAAGGCAGGAACAGTCACAGGACGAGACCTGCGGGAGGCAGGAGCATCTTTTCTTGGAGGGGCTTTTGCTGGTTCTGGGAGCAGCAGCTGGGAATGTGCACGAGTGACCAAGTGACGGTTGCAGAGACGGGGGGCAAAGGCCGGCATCCAGCCCGGGCTGAGCTGCAGCAGCCAAGAAAGGGGCAGAGGGACCCCCTGGAGCTCACGGGGTCTGTGGCAGCAGGCGGTCTTAGAGCTCTGGACCCTCCCTGCTGCGAGGGGAAGACGGGCTGAGAGGCCGAGGGTGGAGGCCGAGCGTGGAGGCCGGGCTGCCGCAGCCTGGGAGGATTAGGGGCGGGCAGGGGCGGAGGAGAAAGAGCCCGGGTCAGATTCGATTACGTAGTTCTGGCAGGATTTGCTAGAGGGCCAGGGACAGAAGGGGCTAAAGTTTTTGGTTTGACCAGTTTAGGGCGAGAGAGATCTGGCCTTGGCCGTCTTTCTACTTTTTAGGGAAGTGGACTAAGACATCTAAACATAAGGCCCAGGTTCCATTTTCACATTTTTAAAGTAATTCTACATTGGTGATTACAAATTTTAAGAACATTAAATGTTCCAAATAATGTGTTTCTTTTTCTTAGCGTTTTAGCCTCTGTTTCCACACTTTGCTGGGGAAGAGGCCCTTGCGGGTTCCCGGCCTCCCGCCGGCCATCCTCGTCCTCCCTGCCGGGCCGTCTGCCATCCATGTTGTCCGTCCTCGGGGCAGATCGGTTCTCGAGGCGGCGCCAGCATGTCGTCCTCGGCAAAGGCCCACGCGCTGGAGGACCTCGCTCCTGCCTCCGAGGAGAGGCTGAAAGGAAAGTCTCTGCTCACCTGGGGCTCTCTGTGTGGTCACCGGAGTGAGAAGATTGTTTTTGCCAAGAGCGAGGGTGGCCCCGGCGAGAACGTGCTGACTGTCACCATCACGGAGACCACGGTCATCGAGTCGGACCTGGGCGTGTGGAGCTCTCGGGCGCTCCTCTACCTCGCGCTGTGGTTCTTCTTCAGCTTCTCCACACTCTTCCTCAACAAGCACATCCTGTCCCTGCTGGAGGGCGAGCCCAGCACACTAGGTAACCCACCTGGCAGGTAACCCACCTGGCGACGGGGCGGGAGCCGGCCGCTGCGCTCACCCGCAACAAGCTCAGAGAACGGCCGCGGTCACCCGGGAGGGCGGAGGAGTCCCGCTCGGCTGGGCCCTCCCGGGCTGTGGGGCGAGGGTCCCGTCCCCGTGCGCAGAGAGGGCGCCGTCCTCTCTGCTCACTGTGCTTCCCCGTCTGCCTCCGCAGGCGCTGTGCAGATGCTGTCCACCACGCTCATCGGATGCGTAAAAATATTTGTTCCGTGCTGTTTGTATCAGCACAAAACCCGGCTCTCTTACCCGCCCAATTTCGTCATGACGATGCTATTTGTGGGTCTAATGAGGTAAAGAATCTCATGTTTTCGGTTGAGTGTCTGATCTTTAATGTGAAGCACCTTTCCCGTCACTGAGCCTGGGGACTCTGCCGCCTGGCGTCGCGTCAGGAGCTCGCGGGTGTGTGTTCAGTGCGAACTTCCTAAGACCACAGGGCTGTCCGGGCTTTAGGGCATCACATGGACTTGGTTTTGCGGCTCTTACCGCCCCGCGTATTTGATCAGATTCTTTCTGGAGCAGCCGTGAAAACCGCCTTAACAGTGGCTCGAGGACACTGTGCTCCTGCCTCTCGGGCAGCGATGCCTTCCTGGGGCCGCGCCTGACGGTCGCGGAGGTGGGCCAGGCCCTCGTTTGGTGCGGAGGGGACGGGGGCTGGCCCTTGGGGGGCTGTCCTGTAGGTGCAAACAGATGATTGATTCTGAGGACACTTTTCCTGTTTTTAGGTTTGCGACAGTGGTTTTGGGTTTGGTGAGCCTGAAAAACGTGGCGGTTTCGTTTGCTGAGACAGTGAAGAGCTCCGCGCCCATCTTCACCGTGATCATGTCTCGGATGATTCTGGGGGAACACACAGGTGAGGGGCCCTCCTGGGCCCCACCCTCCACCCGGGCCGGGGCTGTCACCCTCCTCCGCCCTCCTGTGCCTGGCCGCCGCGCTGGCCGGGGCCGCTGTGGCCCAGAGCTTTCGTTTCCCTCCCAAGACGTCTTCTCGTGGCCGCGGTCGCCTCACCTGGCTGTGGGAGCGAAGGTTTCCTGGAGCCTGCTCCGTGCGGGGCGTCCAGCGTGGGCACTCGGTGGCCAGACCAGGAGGGTCCTGCCCTCTGGTCCCCGCCAGGCGGGAGACAGGCAGGGCCGGGGCAGATACCTGCACGTGAGATGACATCAGGTGCCAATCGCCGATCCCAGGAAGACGGGGAGCGTCTCTGGTGGGCGCCCCGCGAGGCGGCCGTGGCAGTGTGTCCTTGGGCTCACCTGTCCCCCCCTCCCCGCCTGCCTCTGGGTCCCTTATCTGCACTGCTCTTCCGGCTCCTGCTTCTCCAGGCTTCCTGAGGCTCAGCAAATCGGATTTATTGACAAAACTCCAGCCTTTTAATGATGTGCCGGCTATTTCCCGTTGCGTGCTGGACCCATGCCCCCGGTTTTCTTACCAGCCTTTTACAAAACAGCATATCCAACATTCTTACGTGGAAACAGCAAGTTCCAGAATAATACACAAAATGCGTAATCTTTTATCTAAGAGAGATACTAATAGATACACTTTTTTTGGTCTTTGCTTCTCCTAACAAAAAATGCAACAAGATCTTAAGATGAAGGCGTGTCGGCCTAAGGGGCGGGAGGAAAGCGGAGGGGCCGGGGCTCCACCCGGACTTCTCACACACGTGCCTTGGGAACCGCACAGATGTTTTAGGTGATCACAAAACAAAATCAAATCTAAATCTGAAAAGCAGTTCCTAAAAGTCATAAGCAAAACAATACAAGTGAACCTTATTGCGTATCGAGCCGGTAGCTCAGCCACACAAAAAGGAATTATTTCAAGCGACTTTGAAACCTCAGGGTGGAAGAACTAGAAGAAACCACCTCTCTTGCTGAGAACAGTTAGGAATCTTGATAAAATTTAGCAAAGGAGACCTGCCGGGGAGGCATCGGAGAATGACCACGGCGCTGGGACTGCAGGGACCACGCACTCAGAGCCCAGGGCGGCTCGGAGAAGTGGCCCCGAGGGTTTGCTGATTGTTGGGCAGCGGATGGGGCTGAGCGACACAGCCGGGAGCAGCCTTGGCCGCCCGGACTTTCGGCTGGAGGAAGGCCCCGCCAGCCCCGGCCACGCACCGGGAGCCAGAGCAAGTCCTGTCTGGAGGATGCGGCGGCGTCCGGTTCTCTGCGGTTTCACGCACGTTGTCCACCACCTCACAGTTCCCAGGCAGAGCAGAGGACGAGACCGAGTGAGAGGTCCCTAGAGGATGCTCAGCCGTAAGATGCTCCTGGGGAGACCCGGGGCCCTTCGCAAGCTCGGGTCCTCTCAGCCGTGCGGCGCTGGGGTTGCTGCGTCGGCTCGACTCACGAGGAGTTGTCGGTTTGTTGACGGCTTCCTGGGGAGTTTAAGCTGCTGCTCCGGACCGCGGCACCCTGTGACGGGATGATCGCCATCTTCTCGTGGGGTCGACACGAGCTCGTCTGATGACTGTGACTTTGGTTTTTTTTGCTAAACATGAAAGCTTCATCTCCTCATTTACTTTGAATTTCAGAATAAATTCATATCTAAGATCAAATAGGCACAAAATGATGCTGCTACCCTATTTCCAAAATAAAAGTATGGGCAGTAAGTGTGATTTCCCGGCATTGAGCGGGTTTCTTAAAAACTGTTCACGTAAAGGTTTTTATGACAGTGCAGAAGGAAACCAAAAGGAGTAAATTCAACGCAGGCGCATGTCGAACAGCCCCCGCCCCCGCCTGGCCCCCCAATTTCCCTTTTTCAGTTACCGGGAGACGTCCCATCCCCTCCTCACTTTGCAGGTGACACACGGACTGGGAGGAGGGACCTGGGGGCCCAAGGCTCTTCCGTGGCGTCCTGGGGACTGACAGGCGTCCCGTGGAGACGTGGTTGACTTGGCCTCAGGAGGCACCTGCCTTTGGCAAGGGCGAGGGGACTTCCTTGCAGATGGATTTTATTTGCTTTATTTTCCCTCCAACATAAAGAAACTGACAGGCATTTGTTTTTTAATTAAAATGAAAGTCCGTACTTTTCCCAAGTGGGGGAATGGACACACCCGGGCTTGCGGCAGGGCCTTGTGGCCTCGTGGGTGACAGCGGGTCCCCTGTGCTGTGCTCTTGCCAGGGCTGCTGGTCAACCTGTCCCTGGTCCCGGTCATGGCAGGGCTGGCGCTGTGCACGGCCACCGAGATGAGCTTCAACGTCCTGGGCTTTTCCGCCGCATTGTCCACCAACATCATGGACTGGTGAGTCGCGAAGAACGCGGGCGCGTGTGGGTGGGCGCCCTTCCCTCCACCTGGGTTCCGGGGAACGTGGGCCCAGGTTAGCTCAGAACTATTTCCTGTAACTGAAAGCCAGGTGCGTCTGATGTTGCCGTTTCCTGAATACGGAGACAAGAAGGCCCACAGTAAGGTGACTTTTCTCCAACACCATCCAGGATTTGAGGACACACGGCCTTGATACTTAAAATTGTACCTGCGGAGACAGTTGCCGATGACGGCAGAGCATTAGCTCCGTGCCACCCACGGTGTAAACGTACGGACGCTCGAGCTAAATGAAACCAAAGCGGTTACCTGACGCCTGCAGCAGGGGCAGCCCCTGGGCCGGCGGGGTTGTCGCCCCTCGGTAGCTGCACTGCCGGGTCGTCCTGGTGGCTCCGCTCCTGGTCGAGTGGCCTTCCGTGTCCCGGCGTCACCACTGCAGAGAGGATGATGACAAAACGCTTCCCCGGGTGAGGACGGCCCCGTGGCAGGTCCCAGAGGAAAAGTGCCGTGTTGTTAGCGTCCCTCACGCAGCAGGGGACAGGGCAGGTGTCACCTCACAATTGCTGTTTATTTTTTCTTTGTTCTTCTTCTTCTTTTTTTTTTTAAAGAGACCGGTCTCGCTCTTGCTCAGGCTGGTCTCAAACTGCCGAGCTCAAGGGATCCTCCTGCCTTGGCCCCCCAGAGTGCTGGGATTACAGGTGTGCGCCGCCACGCCCGGATATTTCTCTTGTTTTTGAAAAAAGAAAGGAAAAAACATCGACACTGGTGTTCAAGACTTTTTATTACTATGACTACTAAAGTAAAACAGGCTCATCTTGAGGTTTTGAACGATAACTGAGGAAAAATAAAAAGCCTCTTTAATTTCACTTTTAACATTTTGGCGTGTTTCCTGCCAGCCTTTCCTGTCTGCACTGGTGGCTCTAGAAACAAGCACTGTTGTGTCCCTGTCCGCCGTGTCTCGCTTTGCGAATTCGGTGCTGTTTCCCGAGCGCGTGTCCCACGACGCTCCCCACAAGCCTGGCTTCCAGGACTGCTCCTGGTGCGAGCACAGGCCCCCGCACCTGCCTGTTCTCTCGTTGCCAAGCTCCCCAGCTCTCTGTGTTCACAAGCAGATCTGCAGGGACATCTCTTTACACGGATCTCCATGCAAACGTCCGACCGTCTGCAGGGTGAACTCCCGGAAGGCAGATTGCTGGACGGAGCCCGAACCTCCCGAAGAGGCCCTTCCCCCGTCTCATCAGAGTGTTTGGGCAGCAGTTGCTCTTGTCTTAGTCCTGCCAGGGAGAGTTTTCCGTCTGAGCCCGTCCTCGGCTATGTTTTTGCACTTAAAAAATAAAAGAACACCTCTCTCCGCTTACAGTGCAGATGGCGGCGTCTCAGTATTTGGGTCCCACCTCCCCGGCGACTGGTGAAGCTGGATGTTGCTTTGCTTTCTCTTTGGCCATTTGTGTTTTCCCCGTGGTTTGTCCTGCTCCTGAGTTTGTCACGCATCTCCCGCGGTCCTCATTATCTCAACAGCCTTTCATTCCCTCGTGCCTGTGCCTTGGGGTCCCAGGGTCCCGGCCACGGCGGTTGCCAATTTGTGGGAACTCCCCATTCGGGGTTGGGGCTGCGGGGTCCTCTGACACCTGAGACGGGCAACCTCAGGCCAGTCGCCAGCCTGAGCGTCTCAGTCCACGCTTGTGTGAGAGGGGTGGGCGAGCTGCCCACGCACCGCGAGGCGCCTGCAGAGCCCGGCGTGGCGCCCGCCTTGGGAGCTCTGCGGCTGCGCGTGCCGCGTGACCCTCGCTGGGGAAGAGTGCAAGCGTCCGTGCACCGTTCGTCCCACTCCGACGGCCAGAGTCGGTGCGTGACCTCTTCCTTTCTTTATTCCAGTTTGCAAAACGTGTTTTCCAAGAAGCTCCTCAGCGGTGACAAGTACAGGTTCTCGTGAGTATCGCAAGTCCACGGACCCCCCGCCGGCCCCACGAGGCCTGAGGCTGCTGCCCATGTGGAAATTCGTGATACCCTGTAGGCCTGGCATGTTTCCATCTTGGCCTAGGTGGCCTTGAAACATACCTTGTTCAAACTGGGGAAACACCTGCCTGTTCCAGCTGCCCCATGAAGCAGCCTTAACCACCAGCCTGGGTTTGGGTCGCCTTTTAAATTCTGGTAGCCGCGGAGGTCCGTCTTTGTCATCAGAAGAAAATTAACTTCTAGTTTGCTTGGGTGCTTCAGGGTATGCTTGCTGGGAAACACCTGGGTTGAAACCTGCCCCAGGTGGGGTGTCAAGCGTGCGCTGTTTCCCCCGCAGGGCCCCGGAGCTGCAGTTCTACACCAGCGCTGCGGCCATGGCTATGCTGGTCCCAGCCTGGATCTTCTTCATGGTGGGTCTCGGAACTAGGACGCGGTCCACTTTGCAGGCACGGGGCCGGCCGGCGTGGCGGCTTTGCGGAGGCGCGCCCTCGGGGGGAGGCAGGGAAGCGAACCGCAGCTCACCGGCGGGGGCTGCTCGGGCTGTGGCAGTTCCCTGAGATCTTTGTGTGAGGATTGTGAGGGTTGCTTGACTTCCTTTTCTCTTAGAAAAACAACAAAACGGGGAGCCTGTCTCCAGCCGTCCCAGGCCTGGCCTGTGGACACGGACAAGGCACATCCGTACAGGCGGAACGAGCCTGTCAGTTCACAGGGCGTGAGCACGTGTCTGGGTGGACCCGTGCTTCCCACAGCGCAGGGGGACTGGCCGCCCTGTGTCCCGGTCGCGCTCTGGACCGTGGCTCCGGCCCTGACATCACTTCCCCCGGACGACGGTCGCCTCTCCCTGACGCAGGAGACAGGGAGCTTCTGCGTCCGTGCTCTTTGCAGATGAGGGTGTTTCTCCGGGTTACATTTTGGGATTGGAATGGTTGATTGAGAGAATATGCATGTTTAAATGTTTTTTAATTGTGGTAAAATATACGTAACATAAAATTTACCATCTTAACCATTTTTCAGCGTACAGTCAG